GGAGTTACCAAGTTTAGTGCAAATGTGCCAAACCTTTGTAGCCTAAAATATTTAATTATGGAGACCTCTTTTAGATAGTTTAAACAAAATTCATTCACGTCCTCTAAAGCATACCCCCTAACAATATTGTCTTATGGTCCATCTCAATTCCTTACATACCCTTTTAAGAAGCCCATATACCTCTCAAATAGATACATGTATCGAGGAAACAATGGACCGCAAGACTATATTTCTTTTACAATATGGGATGTGAGGTAAACCATGATATAAAATAAAGAAGGTAGAAAGTATATTACTTCGAGTTGATAGAGAGTTATGATAACATCATATTGGCATGAGGCTAAATCTTAAGGATTAAATACTTTCTAATGAATCATGCTGGAAAACAAGCAATGCTTTATGATTGTATGTTGGATAAGGTTCGACACTATTCCACAAAGTGCAATAGGAATCATATGTACTAAGTAGAACATGAAATTTATGTGACTTCAATTCATGCCAAGAAATTTCAATTCTTTCATTGACACCAAACTTCTTCTGGATGTTAGCATATAACCACGTGACACTTTAATACCATGCAAGTATTTACAAAACATTGTTTTCTTGTCTTTAGACATTATATAACAAGTTAGTGGTAGATATGATTGTGTTCCTTCACTCTCATTTGGAACATCATCTTCAATATCATGTAACATTTCATCTATGTTATCATGAGTGTCATCATTTGAGTCATCTATACCATGACGATGATCCGATATCAACTATGATCCTCACAGCTTTAAGAAAAGTTTCGAGGTAGCCTAAGTATTCACCACTAGCCCGTTATAATCCAGACATCCAAGTTTCACAATCCATCTTTGTAAAAAAATATATCTTATTTAATTCCACATATTAGATCAAAATTAACAAAAAGTGTCCTCAATGTGGTTTGACTTTTATCAAGAATGATCCTATCATACAAAACAAAAAAAAAGTTATTATACAAATTCTTAAATTAAAATGTTGTCTCAAATAATTAGTTTATTCACATGTATAATAGATCTTAAATGTGATATAAATTTCATATCTCAATAGAAAATTTTTTTAGGGTAAAATTTTATAACTTCTAAACTTAATAATCAAATTATAAATGGATAATAAATATAATACTCTAGAATAAATTAAATATATTTATTCATTGATTTTGCAAATGTATGACATATTATATGGGCTTATGCTCGACTGCTTTGATACTAACTCTTGGGGGAAGACATCATAAGGGAATAAAGAGAAGAGAAATTGGTGATGGAATCCAAGAAAGGGATTGTAAGATAAGGTTACCTTAAAATGGCTTTTACATATGTGATCAAAAAAGTAAGGAACTTACATATGCTATAAAATGACTAATTGGAATGTAATTAATCAAGTAATCAATCACATAAGGAACTTACATATGTTATAAAATGGCGTTAACATATATGATCTAAAGATTACCATGCAAGTATCTATCAGATGCAAATCATATCCTAGTACATCTCACAACCCTCTCAGGTTGACATTTTGTCTATGATCAAATCAATTGGTTATTATTATGAGAAGTTCACTTAATAGTTAAATTGATTCGGACTCGGACATCAAATAAATTGAAACGTCAAGAAGTGCTCTAACCTTTTAGGAGATTTGTGAAGTCTGTTTTCGGGTATCATTGAAGAAGTATGCTTGATTAACTTTTCAAATCGTATCTTAGTCCACAACTAAGAGCTTAATTCTGCTTGAAAGTGGTTAACGGTTCAATCTTAATTCTGCATGAAAATCTAAATAACCGATCCATTCTAAAAAAAGACAATAAGGGCATTCACGATGATTTACTAGTTTGAGGTTTAGTGCTTACAAATTATGATGAAAATGACCAAAATTAACACACGTTGCCATACTTTTGATGAGAAAATTGGTGGAAGATCAACAGATCGATATATAAGAAACTCCGATCATCATAAAGATAACATGGCTTGGGATGACATTGTAACATATAAGTTGCAATCAACTCCTATCAGAAAACGATTTAACCATAACCAATTCGAGATTTACCTTTAGCAAAAAAAAAAACGACATGAACTCAATATCTTTCATTGCTACTCCTTACTAATTCAATATGCCTTAGAAATTTAAGAATAGAGATCTTTATCTTTATCATACCAGCTGGAAATGATTTAGTTATATATTTGCGCCCATGTTTATTTCTGATGGCATATTCGCTAAAAAATATCGGACAAATTGTGTTATATTCTAGTGGGTTACTATATATTATTATGAAAAAAATAAAAAATCAACTGTAATGATTGAAAATTAAAATCATAAACTTTCCAACTGACATTGCGAATACTGTTAAAATAAAACGTACAAATTCATAAAGAAACATTAGAATTCAAATACACCAAAAACTCTTGCATGCAACTTAGAAACCCATAACAAGACACCACCAGATAACAGAGAACTAGATTTTCATTAATCTTCAAGGAAAAGCTTGTGAGCAATCTTGTATGACGCATACGCGTCAATACATGCATACTCCACTTGCTTTTCATTAAGAACCCTTGCATCCCACTCGCTCCTGCACACATGCAATGGCTTCTCCATGTGGAGTCCTGCTACGTCCCTTGCAATATGCTTCAAACCTGGCTTCCTACTATACATGTAAGGCCACCTCTTAATTGTCTCAGACCGAACGTCTGCACTTCTAGAACAATCCAATCCATACTCATTCTTAAGCTTTAAAATATCCTCATCTACCTCAACTCCCACAAAAGTAAACCTAGGGTTCAGAAGGAACCACTTCAGGGACAAAGGAATCTCATCAACGTAGAAGAGTTGGATGATTAGACACTTTTTGTCGATGCATAGTTGAAGAGTGGCAGATTTGTTGCTCATTGACGGGTTATGGTGAGGTCTCCATTCAACATCCAACCCTACCACCATCTTTGGGTTGCGTGCATAGACGATGACCATATCATCCACCCAAGTCTTTATGATGGCAGCTTTGTTGGTCACCGTGGTCTCTATTGTTTTGCCATCGTAGTTAACATGATATTTTGACGATGATGAATCGCGGGTTATGGTTTGGATGCTGCTACGAACATCCATGGCCACTGGTTTGTTTGTAAACAAGAAAGAGAAGTAGATTTGGAAGTTTCAAAGTGATAACCGAAGCCATAAGGGCAGATGATTATTTATATTCAACTTGCAACTCAAAAGGCGTTTGGACTTGGTCGCTTGGATATTTTCAATCAATAAACCTTTCGGATTTTGGTAATTGAGTTTTGCTACAACTAAGCCATGAAATAGTGAATGGTCATTTGTAAAATTTAATGCGTCATCAAGCCACAGCTTCTATAAATTTCCTATGCGAGTAATTACTTCCTATCGAAAATCGAATACAGTATTCAAATTCAAATTCAAATTTGTTATTTGAACAAATATTTATATTGGTTTTGTCCATTTATTTACCTTAAGTTGTTCGGTTAGAAAATTATTATACGGTCTTCTTTGTTTTAGGCATTTTATCAGTGGTTCTATAAGCATCCCGATGCTAACCTCATTTTGGGGTACTCTATATCAGTACGATGTAATATCGTGTTATGTCACATAAGCGACATATAATTAAACATTTATATTTTGTCAACTTATATCCATTATCTATAACCCTCTATAAAGTTAAATATATAGACCCACGTTTTAATTATCTTTAACCTGTATACTTTTTATTTTAAATGAAATAAACAAAAAAAAATAAAGCTGTTTTTACCTCCAAAAGAAAGATGAAAATTATTATTTTCAATATAGTTTTACTTTGGGATGGATCCCATGCATAGTGGATGCTCTAATAACTTTAATGCTTTAGCACAATCTTTTGGATTTAATGAAATACAACTACCACTGCAAACAAAATTTAGCATAAAATCTAAAATTCTCAATATCAGAAGACGAGGTGTACTCCCTATATTTTTTGCTTCATTTTGTTCTTATATTCCACTCAGCTAGAAAATACACTACAAGAAATATGTTTATTAGCGGCGACGCCACCTTTAGCGGCAATAACTTTCGCTTTAGATGTCTCCGCTAAAGGTGATCGTCGCCGCTAAAGATAAAAAACCGCGATCCGCGATCTGCGTCAAAGGCAATTGGTTAACCCTTATCCGTCGATCTTGGCCTAATCCAATGGCTGGAAATGAGTATCACATATACTATTAGAGACAACGTTAATGGTGGCGACAACTGTCACCACTAATACTCGAAAGAAAAGGCGGTATAAGTTCCCTCCAGAAGTGGTCGCCGCTAAAACTCTATCATCGCCTCTAAAAGCTTAGTCACTACAAGAAAATTTCAATTTAGCTATGGAAAAATTTCATAGCAAAAAACTAAAATTCCATAGCTAAAGCTGACTAACTACGAAATTTGTTACACAATTTTTCAATTACACTCCATAGTTTTATTTCTTGTAGCAAATTGTTTAGCTACGGAATTATAATTCCGTAGCAATTTTGCTATGACAGTTTCTACGAAATCTATTTCATTGCAATTTGAGTTCCATAGCATTTTCGTAGCAATATCCATAGCAATTGTTCCGTAACTAACTCCGTAGCAATGTTTCCATAGCTATTTTCCTGTAGCAAATTTCATAGCAACTTTTCCGTAGCAAATTCCGTAGCAATATTACCGTAGCAAATTCCATAGCAACTTTTCCGTAGCTAATTCCATAGCAATGTTTCCATAACAAATTTCATAACAACATTTCCGCAGCTAATTCCGTAACAATGTTTCCGTAACAAATTCGATAGCACCTTTTCCGTAGCAAATTTTTGTAGCAATGCTTCCGTATCAAATTCCGTAGCAAATTCCATAGCAATTTTTCGTAACAATTGTTCCATACCATTATTCAATAAAATTTGGTTACTCAATTCGACTATTTATATAAATTTAACAGATACAATTCATATAAAACTACAAGTGACAGAGTATTCCTATAGAAACTAAAAGAAATATCCAATATATCAAAAGGTACATATTTTAAAATCAAATGTCACTACAAATTAAACATAAAACGCTATTCGATACATGATATTCTATCATTGATTAATACAAGTTTTGACATGTTCACTCAAAGTGTTAATCATAGTCATTGCTTGTGCAAGTTGTTGTTCTAGCTTTGCTTGAACCATCTACATTTTTGTGTTGAAACGCTATTCGATACATGATATTCTATTTGGTTAAGCTTCCTCATATTTTTCTGTTGAATATCCTCATATTGTTAGCGTTGCTCTCAACTAAGGCCATTTGGGTTGAGACATAAGGCATTCATTTATGATCCTGGAATATAACCAATAAAAACAAGAACAAATGGTTAAAGTGTTAGACAAGAAATTTGACTGCTAGATCTTATAAAGGAGGTAAAGCACAAGAAAAATACCTCAAAAGCCTTTTTCAAAAACGTATGAAAATGTTTTTCACATTCTTGTCTAGCAGAACCAGATCCCACTACAATGACATAAAAATTGGCCATCTCCTTTTGAATAACCTCTTCATGTGCTTCTCTTCATGTACATTGGTTTATATAAAAACTAGACGAATTCCCGCACGTTGCGCAGCGAAGATTAAAAATATATTGTTAAAATATTGAAAAATATATATTTAAAATGGTTATGTTATTGATATTAACTTTGAGATAATATTTTTACATTAATTTATATATATATATATATATATATATATATATATATATAATCTCAATTATTTTGAACAATAATATTCATTGACATCAACCCATATTCTTCATTAATAGAATTAAATATAATTATATATTTAGTATTATTTTTAACAATTATTATTATTGATTAATTATATTTTTACTTATGCGATCATTTTCTAATTTCAATAATGATGTTTATTTAAAATACAATTTATTTATAGATAAACGTAATTTATAATTTGATGTTATTATCATTTAAAATTGTTATTCATTAATTTTAAACCACTTATTATTAATAATAATTTAGAGAAGACTTTTAAGAAACACTTAATATTATTATTAAAATGTGAAACATACACTAAATAATAAAGTGATAAGATAGACAATTTTCATTTCAAAAGAGACTTGCATGGATAATATGACATATACATGTAATTTCATTAATTTGATTTTATTATTTATAATTATTGCTTATGAATTTTAAAACCACTTGCTATTATTAATAAGTGAAAGAAACTTTTAAAAAACACTTATTATTATAATGAAAATGTTAAACATATACTAAAATATAAAGTGATAAGATAGACAATTTGCATTTTAAAAAAGGCTTATATGGATAATATGAATAATATGATACATCTATGATTTTTAATTAATTATTGTTTTGAAGCAACATGAACATACAAATATGTATACAATAGTTAATTAAATATTATATAGATCACCTTCCATAACATATGATCGATAACATGAATCTAATCTAATTTACATTAAAAATTTCAACCATAACATACAATAATATTCTTAAAAGAATACTTAAATCAAGAAAATACAAAAAAGAATTAGTATATAACAAACTTACAAATTAAAAAACTTCAACATAATAACATGGCTCGAAAAATTGTTCAAATCCCTCAAACCAACACAAAAAACTTTAAACTTGTTTTCTTTGTGAATTTTGTATGTGATTTGTATTTGTGTGTCTACTAAAAAAGATTGACATTTTTATAGTAGAGTATCCATTAATTGTTTATTAAATATATTATATAAGTTATAGAACCTTTGAATTGTTAATCATTATTAAGAGACTTTTGAGTGGTATTCATTAAAATAGGAGGTTTCAAATGCATGAGGTTTAAGGAAAAATGTTAGCTTTATAAGTATGTATGATAATAGAAAATAATGAATCATACTTCCTCAGGTGGCTTTGCATGATGAAAGATTGACACTAGAGAGCTACTATGCCCTTTCACACTTCGTTTCTTCAAAACTCTGTAAAATGGAAATAGTTTAGTACAACACAATAAAGAATAAAAACAATTATAGAAAACTAACCTTCCATGAGGAGGATATTATAGGCACTGCATGTCTGCACCATTATTAAGAGGATCTAGAAAAGACTTTGTGATACGTGCAAAAATAGTTCTAATCATAATTGTGTCCCTCACTTGCTTGGACCTAGTCCTCTAAATGTTAAAGCATCAAGTCATACTTTAAACTCTGGCCTCATGTCACCCAATTACAATTCACAAAACAAAATTGAATTAATTTATAAAACAAAGAACTAACTGTTAACAAATTTTACTGATTAATAATATCTAAGTTCAATAAAATAATCACTGACCGGAATCTGGTCAAGTCATTGGAGGTCGTTCTCATTGTCCATAGGTCTAACAAGAGTTAATCATTCTCTATCAGGGAAAAGAGCTCAGATGGATTCACGAATCTAGCAATTAATAATTGGTAATCGGTAAAATGTAATGCACAAAATGGTGATAGTGAGATTTGAGTTTTAAATTTATCTTTTTGCAACTGAACATAACTTATCTATGGATTCCATTTCTCAAAATAATATAGATACCTGGAATTGGAATCCAATATTTATTATCTGTTATCAGTGTCCTATATTATATATTTTCCTAAACAACAACCTACTTTCATATAAAGAAATGAAAGTACATCGCTATTAATTGAAGGCTTTAGTGAAAAGTATACTACTACTTACTTGTTGAGTATTTCAACAAAGAGAGTAACAGAGCCGTTACTACCATGTGTAGCATTTCTGATCCTTAATGCACGTTTAAGGCAAAGGAGAAACCTGGAATCTGAATGGAATCAAGATTGTGTTAGTTCCGACAAAAGAAGAATGGAATAGAGAAAATAAGATTGATCGGAATGGGAATACCTTTTCTCCATCTTGATCATCCAGCCAAAACAGATGTGAAAATGCATACACTGCTCTACACCAATCAACTGACACATTATATAAGACAGTTTGAAGGCACTTAATGATTATAAAACAACATATCATATAAAACCCTCCTATTGACTAATTGACATAATAGTAAGAATTAAATAATAAATTGGTAAAAACCTAAGCAAAAAAAAAAGCAGTCGTCGTTTCAAAGCCTCTTTGATTGGATCCATGGAAGCATCTTTGACTAAATTATTCATGTCAGATCCTGAATAGACGAAGTATAAGTAGAAATGATATAAGCCATATTCAAACTAAGGAATAAGAAAACACTCGAAAGTTAAAACCAATAAGATAAACCAAATCAAGATACACAAGAGATCAAATTGATTTTATTTAAAAAAGAAGATGAATGATGAAATTAATTACCTTTTTCCCTCTGTAGTGTCGATGGAAACCTTAAGCCACAGAGAAAACCTAATAAACTCAAAATCAATAACATACTTGAGAATTTAATTAATCAAACACGAACCAAAACATTTCCAAAATTAGTATTTAACAAAGTTCAGGTTAACCTTATCTTCAGATGACATTATAGCAAACAAGTGGTATTTTTATTTTCAATTTCCATTTAAAGTGGTGTATAAGCACATGAAAAATATAATGAGGCAGACAGGCAAGGTCCCCAACATAAGAAACGTTGGAAATATGGTTTTCTTTTTATAACATCTACCCATTTTGGTCATTTTTATGATCAACACCTAAAACCTTAATAGATTACTTTTTAAGATAATTTCTTTTTAATAAACCACAAAAGATAAACAATCATGTATGACTTAATTCTCAAACAACCATCTCATAAACCATGAACTCGTATCTTTGAAGAGAATTTGTTTAAAACCCAACAAGAAAACACAGTATATTATCTGCTAACAGAAACCACAACAGTTTACTTCCACCTAAAAATGGTATGCTATGAAAGAAAAAGAAGAGTAGAAGCTAGTTAAAGATCATATTTCTATGGAGAAAGGACTTTCTTTTTTGTAACACCATTTTTTGATTTCAAAGAAACTCACCGATTATTGAGGTGTGCATCATCCTTTTCTCAAACTTCGCCCATTCTTTATTTGACTAGAGTATCATAGCACAAAGGAATAACTATGATCCACGATGAAAATTTCATAAGGACATCCAACTCAGAAAGTATGAAGAAAATGAGCAATTAGTACTTAAACCCAACAAAACTATTCTCTCAGGAAATTCGTCGAACACTTAAAGTGCATGACTTCTCCTCCATTTTTCTTATCACTTTTATTGGATCATCCTAACTGGACACCTTGTATCCATCCCTCCATGTCATTCAATCCGGCAAATAAAACTGGTGTTCGATGGTTTGTGGGAAAGAGCCAATGGTAGTGGTTGGGAGGATTGGGAGGTTGAATTTCTTCTGTTGGGCATCCAGTCTGGCACTGACATTGGCGACACGGTGGTGGTATGAGCCTCTCAAAAGGGAGGCCTGAGAATGCAGGTGTCATCACTTACAGCCTTCTGGACGGATTCGTTTGTGACTCTTGGGGATGACTTTCTTCAAGTATGAGCAGCATTAATGGAGTGAAATTGACTCAGTCGTGAAGATGCGTATACATACTAGTAGGGACGAAGACGGTTGAGAACAATAGTGGCGACGAGGAGTATGATGACGCAAAGTGAACACGAATGCGACGAGGATCACCGGTCGAGAACAACAATATCGCTTTTAGGAAGGAGGATTTAGTTTTGGGGGAATTAGGTTTAAGTTTAGGATTGATGGAATACAGAAAAACGAATGGAGCATACCAACTGATTGACGAAGCAGGCAGCACACGGTGAATCAGACAAGAGGAGGGAGCTCCCTGGACTGTAGAGGACGTAGAGTACAATATGATCGATAATGAGGGAAGTAGAAATGAACGATGATTTGGGGTATGGGGGGTGGAAGAGACTAAGGAATGAGGATCTAGGTAATCAAATGTGATTTGGGTTTATGTCTAGGATCGATGGAATATATAAATTTATTATGGTTAACCTTTATGTAACCAATTTCGTAGTAGATTTGCTATAGATTTTATTATGTAGCACATTTTTGTAACAAAATAATTACGTATGTCAGTTGCATAGCCAACTAGCTACGAATTTTGATTTCGTAGAAAAATTTGTAGCCAACTGCCTACAAATATAGATTTTGTAACAAGTTGTGTAGCGAACTAGCTACAACCAAGAATCTCGTAGCATATTTTGTAGTAAAATAGTTACATATTTCGATTCCGTAGCAACTTTCAGTAGCGATTCGAGATTTAGCCACGAAAATGCAACTTCGTAGCCATTTCCGTAGCAAAATAGCTACGACCCGCCATTCCGTGGCATATTTCGTCATATAATAACTACAAATTTTGATTCCGTTGCAACTTTATGTTGCTATTCATGATTTAGCTACGGAATACAATTTCGTACCCGTTTCCGTTGCAAAATAACTACGACAATCCATTCCATAGCATATTTCATAGTAGAATAGCTACGGATTTTGATTCTGTAGCAACTTTCCATAGCTATTTATGAATTTTCTTGTAGTGAGTGTCGCCACTAATAGTCGTCGCCACTAATATTCGTCGCCGCTAATGCTCTGTGCAAACACACCCCTTTTTATTACCCGCTTTCCTCTATTATGTCAATCTCTTTTCCTCTTATGATTTCCAACGAAAGTGCAACCATCACCGACGACGACAAGGCCGCCATCACCGACAACAGAAGTTGCATCACCGGCGATGCCTTCTTCATTCCGGCAGTGGCGACGGCTCGGTGATTCTCCTCCCCTTTTTTCTATTTCTCTTCTCTCTAGTGACCATCTACTGATTTTGTGTTTGATCTTGCAACGCCCGGTTCTCAGGTAATTTCTTAAAATATAAAGAGTTTATTGATTTTTTGAGTTGGCCTAGTGCGCTGGGCGTAATCATGATACGTTGGGCGTACCACGGCAAACCCTGGACACAGGGTTTTTGTTGGGTTTTGAGCATTCTAACACTCCTAAGTGTACATGCAAACCTAAATAGCTTGGATCTATGTTTTCTCTATTATACATGCAAATATGAATATCCAAGGTATTATACTAACTAGCATACAAAACTTTGATTCACATGAAATATAACAAGTTAGAATACATACCTCTTTGATGTAGAATGACTCCATGATGCTCGAGAGCCTAGTGCCCCAAGTGTGACACCTCAAATGGTTCACACAACATCATATGCTTTTGGAATAACTTAGAGAGAAATACACACTTCATGAAAATCGGCTAGCCCTCATGTTCAATCTCTAGTGGCCGATTTTCCCAATGATATGATCTTTATATAGTGTCACAATTAGGGTAAACCCTAATTGTCATGGCTTTCCATTTCCTTGGATCCATGGGTTCAAATACACCATGGAGCATCCATGGAGCATTCTATGGGTTTTAGCCCAACTTGATAATCCATGGAGTCTTAGCCCACTATACAAGTATGGATGATTTACACAATCAACCTATATATTTAATTAGTCTTCTTTTTGATCACTTAATTAATTCTAGATTAATTTTTGATCAATACTAATTAAATAATCTTATTAATATATTAGAACTTATAATATATTAATAAACCTTAAGTGTTATTTCTCTCATTTTAGTCTATCCAAATGCATGATGCCATGCAACCCAAATGGACCATGCCAAGTCAGGTCAAGTACATACCAATTATAGTTATGGACTTAGACACTAATCCAACAGTCTCCCACTTGGATAAGTCTAAAACTATTATTGCGTATGACTTCAAGAACCAACTGCCAATCGTAGCTCTCAAAAGCCGCTGTCGAACTCTGACCTTGTAGATGAACTCTGACCTTTATCAATGACTTGTCCATTAGATAAGGGATCATATATTCCTCCATTCTAGATATCATATGGACTGAGACATGGATTATAAATCATTCTCTCTGTCCATTTGTTGTTTCCCAATTTTCGATTTATGACGACTGACTAATTGAACAAATCAAATCAGTCCAGGCCCGGCCGAGCACTTATATTTGTCATCACTAAATCATCGAGGGGCCCACAAATATCGCTTTTATCCCAAAGGTAAAAGGAATGGATAAACTTCGACTCATATGGCTTGTTCTACTACTTGTTGAATCATACACAAAGGCACGTTTTATAACATCGAGTTACCAATGCGTTTTCGCGCAATCAATATGCAACCAACTCATAGTAACAACTCATATCTCTAGGTTTGAAGAATATAAGATATTATCGTCTCATGATCACTCGTGATAAAATCCATGAAGTGATTCAAATAAGTGCGGGTTGAATCCAATACTCAGAACTTATGAGCACTCATGAGTGTTGTAGCCCCTTTGTCCAACATCTTAGACCTCTACAAGCCAACTCATGACAGTCTTGATTCATATCTACTTCCAACATATGACCGACTGTGGATGGTTTGAATAACTTAGTCATTCGGGAAGAATGACCTAGTTTATTCTGGAAGTCAAAACATGCAAAATGAAACACAAGAATAATTGAATCTAGTATGGTTTCAAAACTTATGAATATAAATAAAACACTTTTTATTTATCACCATACTGATTACTCATTATTCATTGTTTCGGTTTTATCAACTTTATACTTGAATTAAAAACACTAGTTGTCCCATGCTCCAAGCATGTACACTATGTTCTTCTAAACAATAGCTGTGCCATACACCAAGTAAGCACTCTTTGTTTGTCTATGATCCTTACTTTGTGAAATAAACCAATTGAACATAATTTCAATGATTCTAATTTCACACTCCCAAATCCTTATCGAAAATGTAAGAATTCCAAATTCCAATCATTTACCGAAATCTGTTATATTTTAAACTTATTTGCATGATCCTCTTGTAATGATTATGCACAAAGTCACAAAGACTTGTCAACAGACATTACTGGGTATTCCAATGGAGATCAGTTCCATGGAAACATCCTTCTTGCATTAAGTTTTCTAACCCTACACAAATTGAATAACTTCCAACTATGAAACATTTCCATATTCCCATTTTGATTATCACTTCTGAACAAGAGTTGCCTCTTTTCAGAATATGTCAATATCGACTTTCCAAAATTAACACTATACTTCCAACTGTCCCTGAGCAACCAATCTTTGGTAAACCTTAGATTGTCCTCGACAATTGCTTAATCCTTTTAGTCATATCCAATTCTAGACCTTTCCCCTCTAAATGCCCTGAGCATTTGGAAAATTTAGAAAGGATGACTATTATAACACATGTAATCGATCCTATATCCGAAGCATATGGGACACGATTCATGATGTCTCACATAAAGACATGATAGTAGACCAGTCTTTTTGCTATAGTATTTCTATGTCTATTTGCCAAGTTCTCATAAATCAGATTATGAAAATGGATGTCGTAATCATAATCGAATTTTAGAATGCAAATAATGGACCCATATATAGAATTTCCTTATGTTGAGCCACTCCAACATAAAATTCATATATATATATATATATATATATATATATATATATATATATATATATATATATATATATAACCTTGACTAAAGAAGATTAAAACCTCAATCTAGGCTTTTAGAATTGAAAGAAGTATAATTTCCTCTCCCTAAATTATAGCAAAACAACTTTTTCCAATTGAAACTTTGTTTTTCTATAACTAACATTGCTAACTTGCAACACTTATCATAATTATCATGCTCACACTAACATGATGATTATTAGCATAACACTTATGCTCCCACTAGCTTTGACATGTATCCAGAAATTAGCTGGACTTCTAGAAATCAATACTTTATTGACCTCCTTACCAAAGTTCAGATTTCTGATACGAGATTGCTTTGATAAGACTTTATCAAACTCATACACTTTATCTTAGATAGCTTACAGGTGTGTCTAAACAATTTCAGAACTATGAAAAGGGATGCCGTAATCATAGTCTCAATTGTTTAGACCTTTGCCATTTCTCATAAGTCCATGATAGTGTGCAGGTTAACCACGCACGCTCTAGTAATGACTTTGAGAATCCAAAGATTACAATTGCTATCTTACTTAAAATCTACTTGGTGGAAGTGTTTCCTCACCATCATTTTCATGAATCGGAGAGAAACCTTATGACCCTTAGATTTTATGGTGTATGTGTTCTTATCCATGTGAATTTGTCAAAACCATAACCACAAGAGAAGGTTAGTGACAAATCCAAACTTATATGGATTGAACTTGTGCAATCTTAACTTCTCGCCACCTGGCAGTACAGGGGCTGCCATTGCTTCCAAGTAGTTATGCAAACAATTTAGAACATGTAGAACTCAAATGTCAACTTTACTGGAATGGGCACAGAAATGTCAACACAATAGGTTATAAACCTCAAGTTGTGTGCTAATGATTAAAAATAGGTTTACTATTGATTAGTTCTTGAAACTATTCAAGATCTTTAAGACTCCCACTGTCCTCTTGACA